GTTCAAGATGGCGGAGAAAGGTAAGTTTTAATTTTGGGTCACTTTTGCGACACTCTCGGAAAAACCGCTTTTCTGTGTGAGAAGCCAGTGTTATTAAAAATTGAAACACATATTTTCTGAAAGCTGAGACTCTAGGCTATCGATTCATAAAAGAACTTTTTTATTTATGCTGTTCCTGAGTGGAGAAAATTGGTTTTTTGCTATGCTAGGTGTTTTCCAAAAGAGGCATTCAGTAAAGTGAACGCGCGCCAAAGCCCACCACTCGTACGGCGATGAAATTTTCAGTAAATATTCTTCAAGACATGCTGAATCGACTCATACTAGCGCATTTATGCGTAAATGAGTTTTAATTGAGAACTAGATTTTCCAAAAAATCTGGTTTTCCAGAGGTTTTCTACAGTCTTTTTCATCACAAAACGCTTTGGCTAAAAAGTAAGGATATATTCGGAATCGCGTAGAAAACTGCATCTAATGATGTGTCTTTTAACCAGTTTCAACGAAAGTCTGCGCAAGGTTCCAAAAACAGCGTTTTTCCAATATTTTCCTCTAAAGTTTGAGCTGAAGTTTTTGCAGTAATCTGCGAATGTTCAAAAATTGTGAAAACCCGTTTTCTCTAGGTTTTAGACCATGGTGAATCTAATGGTGGCATTTAAAAATTTTCATCATGGTTTTTCGGGGGGTTTTCAGAGTTCGGGTCTCTAGAATATCCCTAAAAACCTGAACTTTTGACGTATAGAAAAAATGACAGATCGAAGTTTTTGAAACAAATACATTCAGCTATAGTGGAAGAGAATACGACCTGTCTACCGAAGTTTGCTACCGCAAGTGTGATTTCGTCACGATTTTCCACTAATATAAATTAAAATGGTCATAATTTTTTAATGAAAAATAGTAGAGATTCAAGCAATATTTCGTTGGAAAGAAGAGACAAAGCTCTTTAAAACTGGATTTGCAAGTGAATCCTTCAAAAACTTTCATTGAGGTGAAACAATTAAAAGAATTTCGAAAAAAAATGAAGGTACGTAGGTGCCTCAAGGTTTTGAAGAATTCGCTTGAATCCAGTTTTAAAGGGCTTCGTCTCTTCTTTCCAACAAAATGTTGCTCGAGTCTCTACTGTTTTTCATTAAAAAGTTATGACCATTTTAATTTAGTGAAACACCGTGGTGGAATCGCACTTGCGGTAGCAAACTTCCGTGTACAGCCGAATATCAATTAATTTCAGAAATCAGAACTAGATTTTTCATTACACATACATAAAAACAGTTTTAGAAAAAAAAAGTGTCAGCGGTGGGGTTCGAACCCACGCCCTCATACGAGGACCAGATCACTCACATACCTTCTTTATAGGAAGGAAGACAATTGTCTTGAGTCTGGCGCCTTAGACCACTCGGCCACGCTGACTGATGATAAACAACTTCTTGAGGAAATAATTTGTATGAAATTCTGATTCTAGCTATTTCTAACGGCGCTTTTCAACTCAGCTCTCAACCTCGATATTCATACATCGAGCACTTGAAACTAAAATAGTTTTAATTCTCTTTTTTAAATCTTTGAACTTTTGTTTATATATGAGTGCGAGTACTTTTATACTTAGAATAACTTACAATCTTTTTCCTTCTTGAACATAGTTGTTTAGGAAAGAGCCTATAATTATTTATATATAGTCGTATGGTGACAACAACAGATGCTATTTTCCGATGTGTTCGAGTGTAGATGAGTTTTAAGAAATTTTGAATGTACAAAGACGTGCTCAAGTGTTGAAGGAACCTGAAAATGTTTATCGAGTGTTCAGAATGACTGTTTGCGAACAGGAAACCCTAGCTGGAACTCCCCCAGAACTGCTGTCACAGGATCCCGCAGGAAGTCGCGTGGGACTTTCAAGGAACTCCTCATGACTCCCACAGGACTCCTGTGGGGCTAGAGAGTGCTCAAAGTCCCGTGGGAGTCATGAGGAACCCCTTAAAAGTCTCACCTGGCTCCCTATGGGATCCCGTGAGAGGAGTCCTTGGAGGAGTTTCAACTAAGGAAGGTTGTCGAACTCAAGACGAGAGTTTGATTTATTTTGAAAAGAAAGCTAAGTTGTATGCTATTATCTAGAGCATAATGCAAATAAACCCAGGACGTTGAAAACGGTGTAATTTGTTGTCTATTAAATGCCTATTAACAGCCCACTAAATGTATCTTAAATGATATTCTTTTAGCTAATGAACACCGTTTTTTGACCATTTTTCGGCATTATAACTCGGAACGTATTAATGCCTGAAAGTGCCATTTTTTTAACAGCCAAGAAACAGGCTGAAAACAAGTATTCAATAGTGACCGCTCGCCAAAAGAATCTTCACTTTATTTGCTATAATGCTATGATTTATCACTTTATTATTCACTTTACTGCTATTATTTTCACTACTTGTTCCCCCGCCCTTTTCACTAGCTTGGCTTTGATCTTATTTTGATGATGATCCACTTGGATCGTTGCTGCCACCACCATATCCACCATGATTCGAATTTATTTGTTTATTATGATTGTTTAAATCGACTTTGTCACCCGTACCTTATCATATCCAGGTTAATGACCTCTAGAAAGAATTAAGTGGAGTTTTACGCGCAGTCAGGATCAGTAAAAGGGACACTTACACGTATTTAACATTATTAGAATTATTTTGGTTCGATTAAGCTTGTTGAGCACTACTACTATTTGAACCAGTTGGAATGAGTATCATCTATACTTAATATTCTCTAAGTTAAACTTTTTGTTCTAAAAAATCGACTTACTTTGTTTTGAAGATAAACCGCTAAACTATTTTCCAATAATAAACGTGTTTGTATGCGCTATGTGTTAAAGCTTTGAAACGATCGTTCTGATATTTAGCTGATGAGCCGCGTAACAAATGTAACATATGGTTCGGATGTGATCATTTACAACAATCTCTAAAACAAAATTTTTCTCTACTCAATGAATCGCGGAAAAATGGAAATTTTTCCTCACGCTTTCGATATTAGTTAAAAATAGAATTGATACTTGTGCAGTTTTTAAACAGTTGATTACATCCTGTGAAGATAAAAAAATTTTACAGGAAACATTGTGAAGCTTCCAACCCGATTCTTAACTTAAAAAACTGAGGGAAGGACTCTTTTCCGACTCTCCCAGACCATCGTTTCTCAACTGCACTTTGACACCATGTGCTAAAGTGCATATATTTCGATCGAACTCATACATTTTGAGATCGGATTTATTTTATTCTTAAGCAACACAATGCCACTTTTATATCTAGACAGAGATTGTATGATTAAGCGATAAACGACAGTTCACCAAAGTACGCACTCTACAAAAAACTCAGATTATATTATTTGTCGTTCTATTGTATTCGTCTTATTTGTTCTCATCGGTCTTATTTTAAGATGATTGTTCCTGCAGGCCGTTCTTACGTCTTACTTCTATAATTGACGACAAAGTCATTCATCCAGGGGGGAAATTGCGGACTTTATAGACTTGAGCGGACTTTAAAGTCCTCTCAGATCCTTTAAAGTCCCCAAAGTCCGCCGACTTGAGCGGACTTTGGGAACTTTAAAGTTCGGTAAAGTCTCCGTAAGTCCGATCAAGTCTAAAATTCGCAATTTTCCCCTTGCATTCATCTCTTTTGTTTTACGTTCGTTACTCTTATATAAAGAACAATGATTGATTTCCGCGAAAGAACTTGTCAATTTGTTTTGATTTTTTACTAAAATCATTGATATAGTCATTATTTAGAGTGCTCTGTGGGTCCTGTATATCAGAATTATTCTTGAAAATAAACTGTTAATGGAAATAAGCGAATATATTGCTTCGTCTTAAAATCAGACTAATTGGGTACAGACTTATGCCGTCTTCTTTTAAGACGGATTTTTCTTGAGTGCACTATAAAAGTAGAACTACTAAATGCAATCTTGGAAGTGAGAGAGGGATTCGACAAGAAAAGCTACCTTTGAGGTAACCTCTTAAATTTTTAATGCACACTAGATTCGTCTCTTCTCATCGATTCACATACTTCTGTATATCTCAATTCGCCGTTATGCTTACGAAGTCTTAAAATATGGCATGTTGTGTAAATACTCACAGCCATCCTCACTGCCACCCCCCCTCCCCGCTCGGCAGATGCACACAAAAGGGAGAGAGATTCCCTCTGTTTTGTTTCGCACAGATACATGTATTAATATAGTCTATTGTCACATTTTTTGATTAATTCATTCAACTGATCAATTCGTATTCTACGAATTCGTAAAAATAACGGCGAAGTGAGGTGAGAAGTATGCGAATCGATGAGAAGAGACGAATCTATCTATTTTTAACCTCAGAGAAAAGTGTTCTGTCCCTGACATCAATTCGTATTTTACGAATTCTATTTATGAATTCGTCGGTTATGCTTTAGCATCTATTAATTCGTAAATAGAATTCGTAAATTTCTCATTTTATCGTATTTTTGCCAATTTTGTATGGAAATTTCTTTCTTACGAATTCGTCCTAATTTACGAATTGGCAAAAGGAAGAAAAGAGGCAATTTTTTGGTTCGTTTTTGATCATTTTTGTTAGTTCGCATCAGTTCGCATTGAATTACGAATTCGCAAAACAATGGTAAAATGCGAATTGTTGCATCATTTTTACGCCAAAAATTGCGATTCGTCAATTCGTCTTTAGACACTTTGTCCACACTAATGCACTAATTTACCCAAAAGGAAAACTTGACTTAGAGAAACTTTTAAAGATTCCTTTATTTCAGCTGGTGAATGTATTCTGTACTTTCTTTTTCGCTTTCTTTGAACAGCAGTCACAGCTGAATAATCTTGTCTCATCAGATATGCAAAGGAAGGAAGAAACCGTCACTAAAGAAGATTATTATAAACAATAGTAAAGTATTCTTGGATGTCCTTGTTCCTTATGGAGGACATATTCTCTCATTGACACATCCTAATCCCTATTTAGCTTTTCTTTTTCATACACACACACACCAAATACACAGATAACAATGTCTCAGACTCCATCTCAACCATCGCCATTAAAGGCTGCTAGACGGACAGACTTACGTTCACCCGAGCTTAGTTACTTATCAGAATCGTCATCTAATGACGCTGACGTCAGATTACCATTATTCAACACCAATCCACCAACACAAACTACAATGAACAGGAGAAAAGCTAGAAATTCTTCATCATCGGATAGCGATAAACAAGCAACTTCTGCCACGATACCAACAATAAAAAAAAAAATTTTATTTAATTATGTCGATAATGTTCTAGCGAAACATGATTCAGAACATGTTCAACATCTTCATATTGGTGGTGGTATGAAAATAGGCTCAGAAAAAATAAACGTCGATGCCAGTGGTTCTGATGAGATATCTGATCATTATTTCCATAATGAACAAAGTCGAATTGATGGAAATGTTTTTGATACGGGAGAACACTCAACATCTTTCACACAAGTAAGTTAAGTGTTAACTGCAACACATTTATGAACAGCAATACAAGACAATAAGTAGTCTAGTAGCATTCCAAATCGGATTCAAGGTTTTTTTTTGTATAACAATGAATAGGCAGATATGGTACTTTTTGTGTTAAGTCTAAGAATAATTCGTATTAATGAACAAGAGATTATAATCATTCCTCGAAAATGAAGCTATACTCCGTCAAGTCTCAATAAGCGACTGATGAGAAGGACAGAAAGACATGTTAAAAGAATGAAAGATTGTTAAGGAGTAATATAGACTTGCGATAACAATAATATGGACGTTGAAAACAATACATGTTCTCAGATAAAAAGTAATGGAAGCATGATATTCTAAACGAAGAGCAGCTAGCACAAAGTCTGAGCTGTTCCAGTAGAATGAGCAGGATATAGGTATATGTTCTCATCCTGAGCTACCTGAGCTAAGTTCAAGAAATTGCTTAAATTGATACAAAGATTTGATTTTCCGATTATAATCCATTATTAGTATGGAATTATTGACTCACCAGAGTCAAAAAAGAAAGACCACTGTCAGTTTTTTGAAAAACGTAGTTATGGTTAATTGACGGATTTTTCTGATAGGTTAATGTATTCAGTGAAACTTTTTCTTAATTTTGTTGTCACTGTTTATACTACTTCTCTCAAACAGAAACGATATTCAATTAATGTCTTCCTGTAATTATCAAAAGCGTAGCTGATTTTCTGATCTGAGAATTGTCGCGTTCGTCTCCATCATGGCCTGGGAAGTGAGTTTCGAAAAAAATATATGTTAGATACAGTTATACTCAAAACATAAGATCAACGATAATCATATTTTTTCATCAAACAACAAAAAAGCCCACTTTCTTCTACTATAGAGCATTTTTTCGTGAAAAAAAAGGTTTTAGAGACGTCTACTGCTACTTGCAGTTTTCGAGGAATCGTCTATATGAGATACATATTAGGAGAAAAAGAATGGCTATCACTATTTGGTCGATGAATATCATCGAGAAATCATTATTAAATTTTTAACGGTTATGTTTTTATATTTCTCGTTTCCTTAGCATATGGCAGACGGTCAATCCGAAGTGAATTTCGATCCTGATCCGATTGTTGAGGAACGTGAGAGTAAAGATCAAAGGTACAAACAAACTGTCTATGTGAGACAATTACAACCACCTACACCAGCTCCCGTCGAAATTCAAGTACAAGAAGTTCTCATTCAACCTAAAGTACAACGTCCACCACTTCATGTTCGAGTAGCATCACGAGAGCCACGGACACCCTCACCCATTATCATCAAAAGTGCACCGCCTCGACCACCATCACCTGTATCTGAACAACCAGTTATCTATAATAAATATGTACCGGGGCCAAAACCGGCACCTCAACAGGTATGAAGAGAGAGAGTTGTAACGCCTTAAAAATCAGGACTTTTTGCTTTGTCATTCTTTTCAAAGGTTATTATTCATCGATATCCAGATATGCCCCCAAAACCAAGTAAGAAGATAGCATCATTCATGTAACGTCTTTTCGTGAGTAAAATTGTACTACCGATATCCTTGCGACTATAATTGAAAGAAGGTGATACAATGTAACACTCTGAACGCGACATTATTCAGGGATAAGCAATCTGTCATATTTTTTTCTTCAAAGGATCAATTATTCTTGAACAATGGTTACCTTATAAACCCGCACCAAAACGTATCATCAAACATTCTTTACCACGTGAAGCATTTTTACCACCACCGCGTCCTCGAAATATCATTATTTCATATTCGAGACCACGTGCTCTAATTGAGATAGAATTAATTCGTTTACCAGTAGTTAAAGTCGATCCGTATCAACATCAACAAATGATAAACTTAGGCCAATAATTTGTCAATTTCAAATACGTAATCAGCTAGAAATAACCTCCATTGTACAAGAAAGTACGCGTCATTACTATATACTCAGTATTTTTCTCTACGACATTTTTATTACTTTAAATTGTGATACAATGAAACAAAATGTTTTACTTTTTTTTTGTATAAGAACAATTGTCTTTCTCACAGACAATAAAGATATTTGAGGTATCCTAGCACACAGGACACCATAGACGTTAAAAAACCTGGTGGTACTCGACTGTTAAGAAGCGAAATCTCTATTCTAACATGTTTTTTGCATCCACCGGGATGAGTCGCAGGTAACTTTCACTGTCTAAGTAGGTTCGAAAAATTTTCCCGTGATATGCAGAAACTAAATTTTATAATTTGCCTAAAAAATTTAATTTTTTGTAGAGATCCTGTTGTAAAATCCAATTCAACCCTAGGCTTTTAAAATAGTAACTTATGACTTATCCTGCAGTAGTTTTAGAAGAAGAATATCCCACCTTGTGACTACCGAATCGGCATAAAAAATAACCTCTGAATCAAGTCGGTTTTTAAATCAAGCAAATACCTGAACATGTTCAGTCATTAGTACTTTCTCCAGTGGCGCTGAAGTAGTTAGCTTTTACAGGTAAACGTGATAGTTCACTCCTAATATTGATCTGAGAAAAGAATCTTGGCTAGATTTATTAAATTTGTGAGGTATGCAAACGAACGTTTATACCGGAGTTAACTATTGAACAAGATTGGTTATGGCTCTCGGGCAGTGACTCAGAGAGAATAAGTACCACATATTACACACAGAAAAAGAGTAAATTACATGCAAATAATATATATTGAAAAATAAGGTAGAAACATAAGAATAGAGATGAGAGTGTACTAAAAAAACGTTATTTTCCACCTATTATCTAATTTAGACTTGTTGTATCATTACAATATGGTTGATTCACAGTCATCGAATATATTAAACTTTGATAATGTGGATACTTCATCAACACTATTAGCAAAAACTTCACCGTGTTCATCAATATTAAAAAAATATCAACGTCGATCATGGTTAGGAAATTAACAGAAATGCAGCACTGATGAGGATACTATTAGTAATTTAACAAGTGATTCAACAGAATCATTGAATTTGTTATTAATAAGCGTTTTTACAGTTTGGGGTAGGATTACGAACATTAACGTTTGGCGAATTACCACAATTGCAACAATTCGTTATTGTTGTGGGATATCCAACAGACGGTGATAATTTAAGTGTGACCAAAGATGTTGTATCATGAGTGGTCGTTTCAGTCTATTCTAGATGGAGCTCTCGAATGATCTTAAAAACGTAGCAAACATTTATGGCCACAATGCACAAGAGCATGGTTTATCAACTTGTTTTTTCTTTTAATTTTTGGCAGGCTTCATAAGTAAAAAATTCAAAAAATTTTGTTTGCATGTTCCAGAAATCCTTTACTTTATCAAAAACTAGACCATAATTGAAAAGACGGACTTTTGTATGCTGTAGTCCTAACTATCAGTTTCATTTTAAGACCAATTCGAGAGCTTCATTATCTATCCGAGCGGAAAATTTTTGGGAAATACAAAGATCTCTAGACAAAAATACAGTTTTGTGAGACGATACTGTGCATTTGTCGGTGCATTTTAGGACCAGTAGGAAAACGCTTGTAGCTTTTGCTGAATAAGGTTGCATAGAGCTATACTATATTTTATTCTGACTAGAAAAGTTTATTCTACAATTCTGCACGTTCAAAAAAAAACGTTCAATTATACAGGCGTCCAAGTCGCGATTTTAAGAAAAAATCTGCACGAATCGGCATGCTCACTGGACTACAAAGGCATAAACTGCGCAAAAGCACGTAGAATCGGGTTGTTTTCCACTACCCATCAAAGATAGTCGTCAGAAGCCACTTTCTACATGAAAAGACGTAGAAAGTAACTCCTGACGTAAAATCGAGCATTTGTACTCGATTTGAAACCATTGGAGCTACAAATAAAAATGGACCGATTCCTCGGCTTCTTTTCCGTAAACATTTCAATGCTAATACTCAGTGAATTATATTATATTATTGTTATCATTATTATTCTTATGCACCCACCTCTTCTACAGGATGATTCGTGAGATCTAAGTGTTTCATTTCTTCTCCATAAACTTCTGATAATGCCTAATCAAAGAGAGAGTGAAAACGTTTCCTATTTGTCAAACTGTAGTCTAGACTCTTATCTCTCTATAGTATGAATTGAAACTGTTAGCTCTTAATGATCACTGAAATACATTCTAAAAAACATCATAATTCAACCTGGGAACATCGTTTTGACTTCAAAACATAGATGAGACTTTCTCAGAAAGATTATACACTTTTCACTGAGAGAGAAAATTTCGTTGTTCAATGCCATTTTCTCTCCACTCAGATTTCACGAATCATCCGGTAAAAGAGTTGCATACTGATGAGATGACCAGTATTCGGTGAGAGCTATGATCACACGAGATTAAGAGTTCATAGCTATCATAGTTGAGTTAGAATAGTGTCGCTACTTTTGCGGCGTGCTGTATATGTCAAGATGCTAAGAGCCATCATTTTTCATAATTGTTCCAGTTATATTTATTACATTGCTTTAAACAATACTACAACTAGTATCAGTATGTCTTGTTGTTTTCAAGCAAAACTAGTGCTATGTACAAGTAATTCAAAACATTTTTTAATTGCTAAAAAAATTATGTTAAAAGAAACACAAAAAAATATTAGTATCGTTTCTATATCACAAAAATTTATCTGATATCACACAATATGTGAGACATTATAAAATGCAGATCTAAAGGTAGCACCATATAAAATTGGTTAAAAATAAAAAAAACATAAAACATTTTTATAATTCATAAAATTCTAAACCATCTGTTGTTCGTAAAACAAACAACTGATCACCAAAATAAAAGCCATTATTCACATTTTTATTAATTTGTTTTATTTGATTATTATCTTCATCAATAAATGAAATTTTTCTTAAACTACTATTAACTGTTAACCATTTCTGACTACAAATTGGTGTTAACATACATGTATTAATATGATCAATTTGTTGATCAATTTGTATTTGACGTATTTTTGACATTTGATGATCAAATATACCAAATTTCCATGTTTTATTTACTTGTTTAATTGTCATTCCAATAAAAACTTCATTTGCACGAATACAATGAATATAAACATCATCTTTATCACAAATATCATTTTTTTTCCATCGTCTTAATTTTTGCCATGATGGTAATGATCGACATTCAATTATACATTCACCTGATAAATAACAAATAAATAAATCATTTTGATATGTTGTTATTGACCAAATATTTTCAGCATCTGTAAGTTTTATTTGTTCAATTTGTTTTAATCCTGATGATAATGGATCATAAACGTATAATGAACGAAGAGTTAGAATAAGAAATGCACACATTGTATTTGACCAACATAGATCATAAACTTCAGCTTCATTATTATTTAATTTAACACGATTTAATTCTTTTTCACAATCAAATAATACCAATGATGGATGATCATAGGCAAGAATAAATTGATCAGAAGCAGCTGCTGCAATATAATTTGATTTTAATGCAAATTTTTTTGTTGGTTGTTGGTTTAACTGTTCAATATCAAATGTTGGCATTCGGACAACATAATCAGACAAACTATCTTTTAAAATTTGTATATCACCATTCAATTGTGCATTCCCACAGTCAATCTACAAGACAAATGCATTTTTTTTTTGTTGTTGTTCTAAAAAAATATCTCAATCATCTCGTACACACAAATCTCACCTGTATAAACAATAATTGTTTTATTTTATCAATTGCCGTTTGTATTTTTGTTAATTTAATATTAATATCATCTAATATAGATGGATGTATTTGATTTTGTTTTGTTAACATATCACATAGTGGTATGGCAATTTCATTTTGTAATTCATTTAAACTATCTTGTTTAAATTTATTAAATTCTAATAATAATTGCATATTAAAGTCAAATAATTGTTTTGATGATTCTTGATATTTTGTATTAATAATTGTTATCATTTGATTTTTCCATAAATCTAATTTTTGTTGACAATCAGTATAAATTTGATCAACTGTTAGTGTATCAAATACTTTGACAAGTTGATCAGTTTGATCACTTAACTCGTGTGCATATATTTTAACCAATTTTTGATGATTACATGTATGTTTAAGACAAAGCCATAGATGACAATGAGGACAAATGGCATACTGTTGTTCTAAACAATTTTCATCAATACATTGACATTTGCCAATTAAATATGACAAAGCCATTCATAAACTGAAAATAAAGTGAGGATGATTCAGATAACATTTGAAGAAGAAGGAGAAGAAAAAGTTACTCTTGTGTTAAAAGAGAAAACTCTTTTGTGTCCATGTATAAACGAACAAAGCGGAAGAAAATCGTGTTTTCAGGTAATTGATTGAAAATGACCATAGTCCGGTATTTTTTACACATATTCGTATTAAAAATTTATCCAGTGAAAATAAAAGAATACAAATATTTACTTTTAATTATTTATTCAGAAATGTTTTCTACATTTAGAGAACTGCGAAATATTACAATATAAACAAATTAAAAATAAATTATTTTATAGCATAGACCCCTAGATTCCCACTGCGATCAGGACAATAAGTTTGATTCTGTAGATGTCTACATCAGACATTTTCGATGCAATTATTAACAATGGCTTAGATGAGTGTAATCGATGGATGGCTTCTTTTCAATTATTTTCGCCACACAAACATTAACTCCCATTCCCATGATTGTCACTTTTCAAGTTCTATTCTATCATTTGTGTAAATGTTTTTTGAGTTTTAATTTCGATTTGTTTTTCTTCTTTCTATATTAGACGAATGTGTAGTTTTTCTGTTCTGTGTATGACATCATGTTACCGTGCTCACCGTTTGTAGGGATTTTAGTGTCCTAGTGGAGATGACGTTTGTATAAATGTCATTATTTATGTTTTGCTTTCAATCTATTCTTCTCTTTTCTGTTTTTAACTGTTTCACTCTCTAGCGAATAACAAAAAAAGTGATACGAAAATATAACAAATTAATCTAATTTTTATAAATCATTAAACAGAGAATTATCCTAAGTGTTCCCACGCTTTTCTGATGAAACAATTTTTGTTGGTTATTTATGATGTTGATCGTGGTTTTAGCTCATTTAGCGTTTTCTTGGATCGCTCTCAGACAATCAAATTTCAAAATAAGGTTTTCTGATCTATTCGTTAGTTCTCATTAGTCGCGGTCAAAAGTAGCTCAATAAGCTATCACAAAACAGTATCACAAAATCTTATTTCATATTCAGATTTTTGAAATGAAGATCAAACCTGTACTCATAACTTCTATTAAAAACTGTATTTCATTAAAATGGAGAAAATAAACACTACGAGAGAAGTCTAGAATTTGATTATACAATTCAAGATTATTTCAATATGTTTTGATTTCGATGCAAGTCTTACAAAGAAAAAAGCTTTTTTTTTAGTTTTATGAGTCCGAATGATTGTCATCGATTGAATTTAGTAGATACGATAATACAACAAGTTTATGTCAACCAGTTGATGATCCACGATTTCAATTCTAGTATCCATAAATCATGTTAAATTGTTACTGCAAGAGACAAAACTTGTGTCATGTTGTGCTAACTGATTCATTCGCTAATGTCCATCGTGATAAAATTGTTTTCAATTAATTTATTTTATTTATCTTCAATAATTGATTTATATTACTGACTAATTTAATTATGAACAATTATTTGTGAATAATATTTAAATATTTCGAATATATACTTATTCATCTTGATTTGGATACTAGCACATAAATATGATGTTTGAATATCACTAAAGGAGAAGAAGTAATTAAAAACGAGAAGTAGGTAAAAAAGCAAATGTTTTAAGAGTAGTCCATAAAACTATTGCAAAAACTAGAAATACAGTAAGAATTAGACATCTTTGAAACGGCTATTTCTCCAATACTCTGGAATCAAGTTCATGAATCTTTCAAAGATTACAGACAGAGAAATTCATGTTCATTTCATTTCAGACATCAACATCATCTGATAAGAATATTTGGCTACCTGTTTCAGTATTTTGAACTTTACTGACACTTTTTTTCATGCTGATATCCAACGTTTTTCTCGTATAAATTTCTTCTGTACCTTTGATCAAACATTGGACAAAACAAAGGAATTCTATCCTTAAATGAACAAGTATGAGTGTAAAATTGATCAGCAAAGTCCAAAGTGTCGACAGTTCTCTACAACTGATCAAAAATAACTGTCTGGAAGTTCTAACAATATTACTCTAAAGAAATCTTGAACAAGGAACACAGGCATTCTCGGGTTCAAATGAAGAAGCTGATTCTTCAGTACCTGTTTAAAATGAGAATATTTCAGTCGTTTGATATAAATCAATAAATTCAACAGTTTCTATCAGAAAGTCATCATATACATCTTCATCTTTTAAAGATATGTAATTTAGACAAAAAACTATGCATTAGAATAATTTAAAAAAGTTTTTTAAATATTTATTCGAACAAACAAATCACACGATGGTTTCTAGTCAAAATTTGTTGGTTTAGGTCATGACAAATCGCTTAAAAAGTCTTACCTGTCATTTGTTGTTGACTTTCAACAGTCTCGAATCTCTGTTTGATGTTTTATAATTACTTTCACTACTATCCAATTCATCTTTTCTTATCATCTTGTAGATCATAAGGCAATTAGATCTCAGTACTTAAAACTATTTAATCTAAAAACAACGGAAAACCAAACTACTGAAAGTTTTCGTTAATATTAAAAATCTAGTTGAAATACATTGAGACATATTTTTTTAAGTGAAAGGTCAATATTTTAAATTAGAGTCAAAAAAATAAATAAGAGTGAACATGAGATATCGCATACGGACAATTATTTCTTAATGAAAAGAGTGACTTAAATGAAAATTTAAATTATCTACTAGTTATTGTCATAAGATAGTAAAAATAATTTGTATCTATTCGTCAACGATATCTTTTTATACACGATAAATTATTGATGATCAACATAAAATAAAAACAAACAACTAAACACCATTCTCCTTGTAAGTAGAAAAAAATAAAAATGTAACTAGAATAGAATGAGAAAACAAAAAGTTTATGTATGTATGTATGTATCTATAATACTGTTCAAAATATCAAATGCTTTATATTATAAAAAATTATATCGAAAATAATAATAAAAAAAACAAACAAACACACAAACAAAAACTTTCGCCACAAAGAATAAAAACCATATTTGAAATACTAAAAAGCTTTTTACATAAGCAAATAAAAAATAAAAACGGCAAATATTTAACGGAAATTAATTATTCCGTATTATAACATAGTAAAACATAACAGAAAATAAAAAAAAAATAATAAAAAACATGCGATAAACGTTTAATTTTTCATGACCATAGGTGGTTACATATTTTTTTGCGAATATAAAAACAAGCTCAATGAAAATAAGAGTTTTTAATCGTAAATCTTTATTACGATACGAAGGGAATCCTTCAACTTAGAAATAAAGATATTTGACTCTAAAGTACAATATAAATAAATTTTTTTTCTTATAAAATCATTAGATAATTATTTAATTAAATAAAATCATATTTTTTCTATTTCTCCTCCTGTATAATATTGTGAATATCTTTGTTTATGCAATGTTGGCGAAGTAGTCATTATTGTTGCAGTCGTTGTTGACGATGATGATTTTGTAGGTGATCCTTGCAATTTAATCTGTTGATATTCATATTTTAACTGCTGTAAATCTTGTGAGCCTTGGGGTATATAAGAAAATAATTTTTGTATAAATGCATCTTGTGACTGTAATTTCCTATCATATTTCATTTCTGATAATTTATATTGTTTTATTTGATCATAAAGATATTTTAATAAATCTTCGTATTCAAGTTCGATTTCTTGTGATAAACGTTGTGTTTTTTCACAAGTGAGTACCTTCTGTTGTAATTCTTTAATTGTTTGGTGACATTCTGATATTTGAAAACGAAAATCTTGAATAAGAGGTGAAGAAGTAGAGTCATTTGAGGTAGAATAAAACGGAAGTAAGAGGTTAATATCTTCGTTTAAGATTAAACTTGCTTGATGTTCAAATTCACGTAATGAGATTCGACCCTCCGATAATGATAACGATGTAAAATGCGATGATAATTCGTTCTCTTGATTACGATCTACAAAAAGGAAAAACTTGCAATGACTGTACCACAAATTAACGTATTTTTTACTTACCAATATCATATGATTTCTTAAGTAAATCTAGTAGATCCTGTAATTTAAATCTGGAGTTTAACAATGAATTTAATGCATATTTTGATAAATCAATTTGTTCTATATCTGAATCTTGATCTTCATCTGCGACATGATGTTTACTCGCACGATGACGAGTTCGTCGCTGTGGTTTTGGTTGTTGTTCTCTGTTATTATTGTATTGAATATTTCTGTTGTTGTGATGATGATGATGATGATGACGACGGTGACGCTGTTGCTGATGGTAGTTTTCATCGTCCGTCGATTTTTCATCATAAAGTAATTTTTGATATTCTGATTGATTTCCATGACGAATTAATAGACGAACTTGATTTGAAGCGGCAGCTGAACGTAATAAATGAGCAGCACGTTCACGAGTGATACCAGTAGCAGACTCGTCATTTATAGAAATAATCTGATCACTAACCTATTCATAAAAAGGAAAAACAATAGTTTCATTAAAAATCATAATAAAATTGTTTAGAAAACTGTAGAATCGTATTTTAATCATCAGACAAGAGAAGAATAGTATTTAGTTTCGTACTCATTTTTTGGCAAAAAAACCATTTTCAGTACAAAATTTACTTCCGAAATAAATCGAAAAAGGAATCGAAAATCGAGTAATTAAATGTGCTTTAACTATTTGAATTCATAGGTTTGATAAGTTCACAGTGCTCAAAGTTAAAAAAGGAGTTATCATACAGTCTATCTAAAGAATTTCAATTAGTAAAGAAACATCTAGTCAGACTTGCTTAGTTACAGCAACCTCTAGTGAGAAATATTTCCTAAAATACGTCTGATCATTATCTCTTCTCCACATTTATTTACTTTTAATCTTCCATCTTTCTGAGCCAAACCATCTTCGAGCAGTTGTTTAATAAATATTCCAGAGTGTTTAGTTGGTTTCTTAGCACCAATTATCCGTATTCCTAATCCATTTCGACTATCTGTGTAAACAATCAACTCTTCATTTGTAGCGGGCATTCTCTCACAGTTTCATCTATCGGGAAATTTTATCTACCATCTTTTCAAAAGAACTACAGGATTGTACGATAATGACCTTGTATACAAATGGCACATTTTCAGAATAATTGATTAGCACATGACTCACCTTGGTTTTGATTGACAAAAACAAAAACCCAATAACAGTTCTGTTTTATTCCCCTACTATGTAGAGAAAAGTCGAATGTTTTCAATTTGAAACGTCCATGAAACAAGAGGTATTTATTAGTGATTCTTTACCTATTTTCGTATGAATCTGCTTCACACACTTTTTATCATCACAAGTCTGTGAGCGTCATCACTTGCAAAGCTATCGGCTATTAGCTTGAAAACTGAATTCACAAATTCAAAGTATGTTTCTTGTACTTCCTTTGCCTGTAGAAAATTTAAGTTTAGTTCCTGAAGAGTAACTGCCATAAAAATAGTCCATTCAACTTCATTGTAAAGAGAAATTAGTGAACTACGGTGTGATGCGACCTGATGCTTTTGAAGTCATTATAAACAGAGCTGGACCGAGACACTCAGGATTGGAGAAACTGAACATTTTTTAAAGATGTTTTCTAAAAATTAAACTGCTTTTTCATAAAAAAGTTTGAGGGATCGACTGAAAATTTTTCGCTGCGCTGCGCGACTTTTTCTGCAGCATTTTTTTTTCATTTGGCTGGTGAAAATCATTATTTTCAGTTAATGGGGAGGGGGGGGGGCTGATCCACCGTACTGCTTCACTTGAAACATAACTTGGAGTCGGAATGATTTAACTACGCTTATCGTATACAGTTATCGTTTTATGATCATGAAAAACTAACTGGTCATTGTAACTGCGTATGCTAGAGATGCGCGAGACAATGTTTTTTTAGGTTCCGTCTGGTTGTATCCCGTAGAGTTCGTCTCGTCAAAGATTTTCTAAAACGTGTCCCGTTCCGTCGTAAAGACTTAATCCCGTTCTGTTCCGTTTTCGCGGTTATTTCTGACACCACACTACAACACACGGCTAACAGTCTTGCAACACTTTCTTTCTTTATTTCTGTAAACTTCTTGTAAAATGAAGACGGAGATGAGAAGAATGTTTTGGCCGATGGTGGGAAAGAGGTATGATACGTAGATGGCACAGAAGAGGATTTGGACGGTGTGGATGGACTAGTATCGATGTCATCAATTTTTCTCTTAAAATTCAGTCTTGTCTGACCATCTGCAAGTGGACATTTGTGATGATTCAAACTACTAGTTGAACTGTCTTTCAAAACGCGTGTGATAACACTTCCTGCAGCTAGTCATCTTACATGAAAATCACCATTTTCATCTGCTTTAGCCGGGAAGCCGAATGTATCCCATAGTGATGGTTTTGTTTCAAACGTATTATCAACAATTGGCAACAACTGGCTCATGCCGTCAAAATCGGGAAGAAACGGCTGATTAAGCGCAATTAATCACGATTTTTAAGTAGAATTTTTTGTTGATTAATCGCGATTTTGAGAAAAAATCGTCGTGATTATTGCTGAAATCGATTTTTCTAAAAATTGCATGATTTTAGCAATAATCACGTTTGATCGAGATTTATCGACGCTTTTTTCTCAAGATCGCGGTAAGTGCGTGATTAATTGGCTGATTAATTGGTCGATTAAGTGAATGATTAATTGTGCTTAGTCATTTCTTTCCGATTTTGACGGCAAGGATGCTTTCCTCTTTAAAAAATCGTGTAAAAGATGGTTTCTAAGAAGCGAAACAGATTGAATGTCTGGAAAACCAATGAGCAAAATGAAAACTAATAGAATTCAGTGATCTTGGTAGTGCTAGCAGAATAAAGCGAAGATCTATTGATCCGATTCTTTCGTTAACAAAATAAGCTTTACTTTTCGCAGCTTCATTTCTATTTGACCGGATAAGTTTTGAGAGATTCAAAAGTTTTTGCGTATGAATGTTAACAGAACTTTTACCCATAAAAATAAACGAAAACTTATCAATTCGACATTCTTTGTATTATTTAAGTAGTACATCTTGCTGACCAAGTTATAAATCAAACATTACTTAATGCATATTTTGCATGTTACAGGTGAGATTAGAGACAGTTTATAATGAGAAAAAATTATCGTTGTAGTTTATTTCATGAAGAAACACAAAAGGTTAGACAAAAAGTGCATCAGATGACTTGTATGAATATTGACTATCCGGATTTATAAAATTAAAATCATATCATTTAAAGGACCCTCAATAAAAAAACATAGTTTTATTCCAGAACATATGGTTTCGATAATATTTTCACTGAATATGTCTTATTCTAAAAGGGTGACAATAAACGTTTGAGCTCAAAAAGTTAAATTTTCTTAGAATTATCTTGAAAATAAAGGTCAAAAAGTAGGTGTTGCTGTGGTAAAGATTTCTCCGCTATTTTAAGTGATAGTCTTAAAATACGAAGCATTTGTTAATGTACTTTAGGGCTTGTAGAAGAATGTCGGTATCTTCTTTATAGAAGGTCACACAAAATTGTGTTACTTTTTACATTTTGATCAGAGAAGGTTGCTCCAGAAATTATTGTGTTTAGAAAATAGTTTAATTATATAAGTATCATAGAAAAAACTAGAAATCAAATATTTTATTTATCACGATTTCCAAAAAGCTTCCTTCGAAAACATGAAAGCTTATCTCTGAAGCAGAACGCAATACTGACTCTAAAAGTAAATAGTTTGGAGTATCCAACCATGTCTAAATCTCGATATTTTAGACAAAAATTGACGTTTTTTGTCAAGGGAGATTGATCCTTAATGAAATTATCTACCATATGAATCAATTGCTTTTATAGGTTGAAATAACAATTTATCTTACCCAAATGACAAATGAATATTTTCGTGAGTATAAAAAAGTTTATTTTAAAAACTGATATAGAATATTTTTTAAAGATCAAATTGATTAGCTGTTATTCTTATGTCACGTTGACTACTATCAATACACTAAATAAACTATTGGATGAAGTTCAAAAATATGCGCACTATCTTTTCGTTAAATTTGTTCTGTTTTCTATACGGATCAATGATTTGTAACCTCTCTCATCCATTTTATTTTTATCGACAGAAATAATGAAGAGAAAATGAATAGTTTGAATGAGTAACACACGATAATACTAATAATTATGTTTTTAATGTGATCATACATTTATAAATAGGTCTGTATATATATTCAAATGCTCATTTAAATCGTTGATCATAAATAACTGTAGTAAAATTTACATTTTTTAAATATCCATTTTCCTTTCTTAATCTCGCGTGATCTTCATTTGGTAAGCATCGTTTTTCTATAAATACGACAAATATTCTTAACTTTTAAACTATTTTCTTCAGTAAAAAAACACTTTTAATCATAAATGGCTGATAAAAAAACAAGTGAGGATAGTGAAGGTAAATCAGACATAGAAGAATCAAAATCTTCATCGGATCATCTAACAACAAAATCTCAATCGGATACCAAAATAAATTCAGACAAGTCAGTCGATAATGCTAAAACAGAGGAAAAAGAAGATAGAACTGTGGAAGAAATCGATAAAGAATTAGACAACTTACGTCCAAAACCACCATCACCAGAAACAAAGAAAAAAATTCTCATAGAAGAACAAAAATACGATGCTCAGAAAAGTAACGAAGAAGAAGAAAAGTCGAAAAAGAAAGATAGTAAAGATGATCAGAAACAGCAATCAGAGACATCGTCGAATGATATCCATAAGCTAACGCCGAATCAACCTGATCCATCGGTAGAAAATATAAAAATTCCCGTGTTGACTGAAGACGGGCACATTGAATTAAAACTTCAACAAGGAAGTACGTTGTCCAATAAAACAAAAGACTCAAATCAACAACTTCAGACAGATTCAAGTGATCAAATTATGAATGATGATAGTATTCATGTACGACTTGGTGATATTAAGAATGTTCAAAATTTAATGGAAAATATTAAAAATAAAACGAATAATGAACAAATCGTTATTGATAAAAAAGATACTAATTCAAGAAATCAACAATAAAATACGATTATTTTTTAATCGGAAACGGTTAAATATTTCCAAAAACATACTCTAATTAACATTTCTTTGTACAAAAGTATTCAGTTGAAAGTAAAATGCGTCAAGGATATTGAACGATGATAGACATGTATGTTTCTGTCATTCGATAAAAAACATAGAAGAACATTAAAAATTTTCTTAGAAAGAAGAGTTTTTAACGAGTCTTTTGAATTCCAAAGTCTAAAATAGCATCGTCTTCCCTTATTTTACATGGGTAGACAGCTCAACGTGTCCTCTGAAGACCGGAAGTTATCCGGACTCTTCATCATTACGATATGGCACCGGGATTCCTGAGAGTATCAGAAATGTTTTTCTCTACTAGTCGGTAATCTCAAAAACTGACGGACTAACAAAGAGTATCATGGCGATGTTTTTTCAAAAACTTAGTGAAAGTCTATATAAGGTGAAATTACTGATTTTTGACTGTTTTTACTGGAACAGCTAAAGTATATTTTGATGTGTTGAGATAGTCTGGATCGATTTTGAGAGTTAAATGGCGTTTAATTCTTGACCACACTGATCATTTTAAAAATATTATAATTTATCCAGAACAAAATCTCTAAAAGTTGTGTGTAGGTAATCAAAGTACAAAACCGCTATTTATTGACTAACTGCCATACTTTTCTTTATGACACTCATTTGTTAATATTTTGTTTAATCAAATACCTGCCTGCTACTTTTATTTCGTTAAATTAGAAAAAAAAAAACAAACGTAGTAGGATAAGAGACAGAGAGAGAGAGAGAGAGAGAGAGAGAGAGAAAGAGAACGATAACAACGAGAGAAACTTGTCTATATGTACAAATTTGAAAGAAAAGAATGACCACGATGAAGCGAGACTAAACAGGGTTTTTTTTATCAAATAGAAATCGGTAAGAGAGACTGAACGACGAGCTAAAAAAATATGTATATATATATATTTATTTAAGGAAAAATGAGAATCATTACGTTCCTGCTACTGCAGAGGCAGCTGTTGTTAATTGTTGTTGTTGTTGTTTTGGCGCTGAGTCAGGCGCCAATGTTCGAATAAGACTCGCAGCCATTTCAAAAAATTCCATAACTTCAGAAACAGCATTCATAGGAGGCGATGAGGCTAATATACCATCTTCAACAAATAATGAATCACTATTTTGATGTTGATTATTATTAAGTGTAATTGTCACCGGAGAAACTGGTGAATATTTTTCAAATTTAGGTGTACAACCATCTTCACCTTCAAAATCCCATTGAACATTTTGATGATTCATACCTTTATCATTTTCTTGATCAATCAAAACTAAAATATGACAAAATTAAAAAAATTAAAATATGACAAAAGTCTACTTTTTCGATTTTCCAGTTTTTCTAAACATTGGTGAAATCTTCACTCTGTGCGCACACTTACTATGATTAATTTGATCATTAACATTTAAATTTCTAAAATCTAATAAATAACTACGATGATCAACTTGATATAATTGAAGACCCAATTTTACCTTGAAATAACAAATGACTACATTTATATAAACATTTATATGATGTAATCTACTTACATATCGATCACTATTTGGCACTTTTCGTCGAGCACGTAAACTGTACATACTATTATTTGAATATTTCCACTCCTGAAACATAAATTGATCAAATATACTACGACTACTGTCTAAGAAAACATGGTCAAAATAAACAAACTATTTTACAAAAGAGATGGATACAATATTATTTTTACGGGCTTGTATATTAATAATCTTATAAGAACTATCACCATCTATTTCTAGAAAAAATATTGTTCATACAATTTTGTTGTCAATCAGATAAGATCAATGATGTGTAGATTTTTTTTGATATTTAAAATTAAGAATCATTATAAATTCAGACTCGGAATATCATCATGTTGACAAGAATGTATCTGTATTACCCACTACTTAACATATCAGAAGAGAGATATGAGAATTTATTGATTAGTATATATTCAAAAGAAAAGATTTCATTTCTACATACCATTCCCAATTCTTTCATAGCTTTAAATACTTCATTCATAATATCTTGTGGTTTACTTTGTGAACGAATACCTAAATGCCATTTGGCTTTTTTTAATGCCGGATTTTTTGATGTTTTGCCACTTTCGATTGGATCTAATGTTACACTAAGATCTTTTAAAGCTATTAAAAAAACACAACAAAAATATTTTTCTAAATTTTCTAAAGATGAAAAAATATTGTTTACCAGGCATTTTTTCTGGATGTGCGCGAATCGGAGGTGATTTCTGAAAATGTAGAATGATCTATTATATTCTCAAATTAAAAAATAAAAATAAATAAACTGCTGGAAAGCAAGAAGCAGGATGAGAAGAGGATAAGAAAAATATAAAGGATAGAATAGCACGTGCTGATTGTTAATCGCCCACACTTTTAGTTTAAATAGATATATTTAGCATATGTATATATTAGGGCGGGTCAAATTGTAGGGAGCAAAAAAAATCGATGTTTTACCTATCCTAGCGGTGTTCTACGGGTCGTTTTAAGAAACTTTGCCCAAGGAACTATAGCTCTATCGTGAAAATCGAG